TTTTTTTTTTAGTGACAGAGTCTCACTTTGTCACCGTTGGTGTAGTGCTGTGGCATCACAGCTCACAGCAACCTCCAGCTCTTGGGCTTAGCCGATTCTCTTGCCTCAGCCTCCCGAGTAGCTGGGACTATAGGTGCCCGCCACAATGCCTGGCTGTATTTTGTTGCAGTTTGGTTGGGGCTGGGTTTGAACCCGCTGCCCTTCCCTTGGTATATGGGGCTAGTTCCCTACTTGCTGAGCCACAGGTACCACCCATGTTTTCTCTTTTTTCCTTTCTTTAAATTTCAAAATCTTTAGGGGGCACAAATGCTTTTTGTTACATGGATTGCTTTTGTAATGCTTCAGTCAGCTCAGAGTGTGCCCATCACCCAAATAGTATTCATTGTACCTGAAGTTCATTTTTTCTTTGCTTGTGTTTCAGGTGTTTATTTACAAATATCACCTGATTTAAGGTGATGAAGATTTGTACCTGTTTTATTTAAGAGTTTTATACATTTTGAGTTAATTTTCCCTTATGGTGTGAGGTGGGAGTTCAACTTAATCTTTTGCCCCAACAACATTTATTAAAAATACTATTCTCTCCCCTTGAATTGTCTTGGCACCCTCATTGAAAATCACTTGCCCGGGCAGTGCCTGTGGCAAGAGAATTGCCTAAGCCCAGGAGTTGGAAGTTGCTGTGAGCTGTGACAGCACAGCACTCTACCCAGGGCAACAGAGTGAGACTCTGTCTCTAAAAAAAAAAAAATCACTTACCCATGAACGTTTGGGGTTTTTCTGGACTCCGTGTTCCATTCCATCCATCAGTCTTCCTGTCCTTATGCCAGCAACAAACCGTCTTCGTTACTGTGTAAGTTTTGAACTGAGACACGAGAGTCTTCCAACTTTGTTTTCTTTGTCAGGATTGTTCTGGCTATTGGGGTTCTTTGCATTTCTATGTGAATTTTAAGACAAGTTTGTCAGTTTCTGGGGCAGCTGAAAATGCCAGCTGAGACTTTAATAAGGATTATCTTGAATGTTAATTTCTGAAGAGTTTTCATCTTAACAGTATTAAGTCTGAATGTCTTTCCATTACTTAGGTCTTCTATTTCTTCCCATTTTGTTTATGTTTCTCTTTTCTTTTTTAAGAGACAGAGTCTGTTTTTGTTTTTGTCTCTTTGAGACAGAGTCTTACTATGTCACCCTTGGTACAGTGCTGTGGTGTCATAGCTCACAGCAACCTCAAACTCTTGGGCTTAAGCGATTCTCTTGCCTCAGCCTCCCAAGTAGCTAGGACTACAGTACACACCACCACACTATAGGTACACACTGCCACACTGTGCTAAGTTTTTTTTTTTTTTTTTGCAGTTTTTGTCCAGGGCTGGGTTTGAACCTGCCACCTCCAGCATATGGGGCTGGCGCCTTACTCCTTTGAGCCACAGGTGCCGCCACATCTGCTAAGTTTTAAAAAGTTTTTAGTAGGGCTGGTACAGTGGTTCATGCCTGTAACCTTAGCACTTTGGGAGGCTGAGGTGGGAGAATCACTTGAGCCCAGGAGTTTGAGGTTGCAGTGAGCTCTGATGATGACACTGTACTCCAGCTGGGGCAACAGAGTGAGGTCCTGTTTTATAGAGAGAGGATCTCACTCTGTTGCCCAGGCTGGTTGCCAGCTCTGGGACTCAACCAGTCCTCCTGCCTTGAACTTCCAAAGTGCTGGGATTACAGGCGCAAGCCAGCATGCTTGGCCTCCACTGTGTTTTGTAGTTTTCAGTATACAAGTCTTACATGTTGTCTCTCTTTTTTTTGAGACAGAGTCACAAGCTGTCCCCCTGGGTAGAATGCCATGCTGTCATAGCTCTTAGCAATCTCCAGCTTGGGCTCCAGTGATACTCTTGCCTCAGGTTTTTTGATGTTAGCTGTCACCCTGGGTAAAGTGCTGTGGCGTCACAGCTCGCAGCAACCTCCAACTCCTGGGCTCAAGTGATTCTCCTGCCTCTGCCTCCTAAGTAGCTGGGACTACAGGTGCTTGCCACAACGCCCAGCTATTTTTTGTTTGCAGCTGTCATTGTTGTTTGCTGGGCCTGGGCTGGATTTGAACCCGCCAGCTTAGGTGTATGTGACTAGCACCTTAGCTGCTTGAGCCACAGGTGCTAAGGCGGTTTTTTGATTTTTAGTAGAGACAGGGGTCTCGCTTTTTGCTCAGGCTGGTCTTGAACTTGTGAGCTCAGGCAATCTACTGCTTTGCCCTCCCAGAGTGCTGGATTGCAGGTGTGAGCACCATGCCCAGCCCTTCTCCGTAAGTCTGAATGTCTAAGTTGAAATTAATTTTCAGGTCAGAGAGCAACGCTGAATGCTGAAGAAATGGCCGCCTTCTATGAGAGGTTTTTAAGTAAAAATTTTCAGAAGCACATGTGTTATAACAGGTAAGTGCTTACTTTTTCCCTAAAATGTGAATGTTATATCCATAGGGTTATTTTCTTACTTGAATTTCATGATATTCGTGTTTATATCAGAGGTAGAAGTTGCAGGACTTCGTCAACTTTGTTTTTGCACCTGTTAGTAAAATTAACAGCTTTAGATTATTTGCACGACAACCTCACAGCAGTTCTCATCCCCAGTGCTTGGAGAATGGGTTCTGAACACTTCTGTTTAGGGGTCTTCCTCTGAGGACCCTGGGTCTGGGCCAGAAGAAGTACTGGTTGAGTTGAGACATCTTGTGCTGGAAAGCAAAGAGGCCAACAGAGAACAGGTGCCATGTGAGGTGGCACAGGGACCCACGCAGGGGACACCCACTGGTCAAGGGTCTCACAAAGAAGAGCAACCACCATGGGTTAAAAAAATGGAATTTTTTTTTAAATTTTGAGGCAGAGTCTCACATTGTTGGCCTCTGTAGAGTGCTATGGCATCATAGCTCACAGCAACCTCAAACTCCTGGGCTCCAGCAATTCTCTTGTCTCAGCCTCCCGAGTAGCTGGGACTATAGGCGCTTACCACAACGCCCGGCTATTTTTTTTTAGAAATGAGGTCTTACTCTGGTTCAGTCTGGTCTTGAACCTGTGAGCTGAAGCAGTCCACCCACCTCAGCCTCCCAGAGTGCTAGGATTATAGGCGAAAAAATGGAGATTTTTTATTTTTATTTTTAGAGTTAAGGTCTTGCTCTTTCTCCCTTCCTGGGAGTATGGTGGTGCAGTCATAGCTCACTGCAGCCTTGAATGCCTAGACTCAAGCCATCCTCCTGCCTCAGGCTCCAAGTTGCTGGGACTATAAGTGTATGTATGGCTGCTTTTTTTTAAATTTAAATTTTTATTAATTAATTTATTTTTTCAGACAGAGTCTCACTTTGTTGCCCTGGGTAGAGTACAGTGGCATCATCATAGCTCATAGCAACCTTGACTCCTGGGCTCAAGTGATCCTCCTGCCTCAGCTTCCTAAGTAGCTGGGACTACAGAC